CAGCTGACTGCCTCCTCTGCAGTTTTTGTGTTTTACGGATGCACAAGCCTCCAGAAGTACCCCAAACAAGATGTTTAGTGCCTTGCTTTGCATACCGTATCTTGGTTCTTTCCTAATTCTCTCAGTAATTATGCAATGTTGCCGCCTTGTGGGTGGCTGAGGAGGGAAGAGCAAAATGCAAATTAGCTGTCAAAGCTGAGTGTATCTAAAACTTGAAAAGTACAGCTGAATTTTCATACTTAGTAGCCTGGTCCCCAGAGATACCATATTCTTAAGCTGCTATAACATCTCATCCATTTGTAAATGCAAGACACTTCGCCTCTCTCTTCCAGGGCCTGTGTTTTTCCAACTGAACAGTGTCTGTGCAGGATACACTGGCAACCCTGTAGCTAGATTCATGCTAACAGCAGTAACTTTAATGTTAATGAAAAGCTTTTCTCTATATTGGTGTTCTGCATCTCCTACCCCTCCAGAGTATTCAGGGTGCCTGTAACGTTAATTTGCAGTACGTAACCTTGCTAAGTGAAGGCAGTTGGGAGAGAATTCCTCGCAGTTACTTCTTGGGGCTTTGTGTCTGAGCTAGGTAGAATAGCTGCGAAGTTCAATGGACCTTCTGTGGGTAATTAATCTGCTCTCTGTTCTTGAGTTAGGTTTATGGGTTTCTATTTACTTTTTTAATCTACAAATATAAACAAATACTTCCTTGTCTCTTTCTCCTTGTGGCAGCTGCGGATAACTGTGTGGTCCCTGTGTACGAAATCTGTGTCTTACATCAAGTATCCCAAAGCTTGCCAGCAGGGTAAGTGTCACAAATCTAACACAGGAATGGTATGTTTTAATACGGCAGAGAGGGGAGAATGAATTTGATGGGTAATAACGAAGCGCGTGTTTTGGAGCAGGCTCTGGCACCCTCCCTGCTGAGGGGTTAGCTTGCCCTTAGGGGTGCACATCTCTGCGATCCGTACCTGTCTGCCACCCGCTGCACGCCCACTATGAATGGCTCAGCTCTGGGGTTGTCGTATTCTCCCTGTGCATGAAGGATTACATCTGATCTGCGTGCCTGTTCTTCAAATATGCACCTTTTTGTTGTGTTTGCCTCGGAAGGGTCCTTTAAGACATGAAATTAAGCTGGGTGCATTGGTGATGAAAAACACTAACCCAAAGTGGCTTTTGTCATCTTCTACACATGAACAGATGAGAAAGGTCATGTCAGGACTGTCTAGCCACATGGTTGTGGTTAGCAGTTTCCTGCCTGAGGCTTGCGTATTGTAATATCCCATATATGACAAAGTCAATTACATATTAGAGAAAATAAGAGTGGATGGGGACCAATGCCTGGAAGTCGGTGGGGTACCAATGGTTGCGTAACTAATCCATTTAGCTAGACTCAATTAACTGTTTATTTGAAATCTGTGGGTTTTATATAACAACTGTCGGTCGGTAATCAAACATTTTCTGAAGCATGCTGAAGTTCTGCAATAGCTGTGAAGCTCCATCCTTAGAAATAGCATATTCAAAGATTAAGAATTGCCAACACAAGGAAATAGTAAAACTATGTGTTGCCTTGATTAATGTGATCTTCTGTGGAGATATTTTTCCTTCTCTTCTTACTTCTCCTTTGAAGTGGGAGTTCTCCTTTGAACTGCTTTTCATTGAAGAATCATCAGCTATTCTATCTTGTTTGCTCTCTCTCCTAATTAGCTTTGTCTCCTTGGCAGGGATCGCTTTCACTAAGGATGGCCGCTATATGGCAGTAGCAGAAAGACGTGACTGCAAGGACTTCATTAGCATCTTTGTATGCAGCGACTGGCAGCTACTGAGAGTAAGTCCTTGCCTTCTGCTGCTTCTGCGTAGACTACAGGCCTACAGTGCACACTGCTTTAAACTCTGTTGCTTTGGTAGTCTGGTTTTAGACTTGCCGATGCATTTTCTATCCAGCATCTGGCTCCTTCATTGGCCTGCAGGCATGCTTCCGTAGCAGTATTCTGTTCAGGAGGCCAATATATGCTATATGTGCATAAAGAACTTTTGCATTCTGTCAGAAATTCACCTTTAAAATCTTGCATGAGCTTATTTATAGTAAACTATGCCACATTAATAATAATGAAAGTATCAAATGCTTGATAAAGCGGTCATTTAGGATGTATAATAGAAATTGTCATATTTTTCTGTTTAACAATGAGACTGGTCTGTGAAGGATGTACACTAGTGTGTCTTAGGGGACCGGATGGATCTGGGACATCAAAACCCGTTAAGAACTAGTCCATATACAGTCACCTCTGGTTCAGGAATTCTGAGTCTTGTTAGAAGCTGACGCAAAATTTGGGAAATACCACTAAATGCTCGTCAGGTTCCCAAGCTCCTCCCTAATGATCCTGTACCGGTCTTTCTGAGGCAAGGAATTAGGCTAGCTAAATTTCTTGACTGATTCAGTGTAACTGCTTTGAAGTTATAGCAACTTTTTGCCTTTTCTGTAAGGGGAAACCAAAGCAGCAGTGAATGCAGCATCCTATTACTAAAGAACAGATTTCTGTTTCTGCACTAGCATACAAGAGGCTTTCTTGCATTTGTGGTAGCACTTAAAAGGATAAAACTGAGCATGTATTTGTATAATGTTTATTTTTTTAGTATAGTATTTCAAATGGTTTTGTTTTTTCTCTTTTGGGGGCAGCATTTTGACACTGAGACGCAAGATCTGTTTGGGATTGAATGGGCTCCTAATGGCTGTGTTCTGGCAGTGTGGGATACATGTCTGGAGGTATGAGGAAAAAGCAGATTATTTTCTTGGAGAGTTAAGTTGTTTTGTAGCCGCCGTGTATAAAGCAGTAACTAAAATAACTAGGCGTAGAAAAGCGTCCTCCTGTGGCCATAATGTTTTGGGCAGCATGCTCAAAACATGTAGCCCTGGGAATGGGCAGGGCTGTAACCTCCCCCCCCCAATCAGGTGGCTTGCAGATGCAGAAGGAGCATGAGTCTTCCATAATGGCCTCTGCTCCTGGCGTTTTCGAAGAGTATTGGGCTGGATGGGCCATTGTTCAGGCCCAGTGGCGCATTTGTGCTCTTGGGGACAGGGTGGACGTGTTCTGTGAGTGCCAAAAGAGCTGAACTGGAAGCCTGGAGCCTCTTGGCTCAAGTCACAGATAAGAGACCATGGCCTTTGTATTTAACTTGCTGCGTCTTAAGCGGGGAGGGTTTGGAAGGAATGGTTTTGCCTGTCTATGGCTTTTAACAATATTGTTAGTCTTTAGAATGAATCTATTTATGTTTCAGTATAAAATATTGCTGTATTCCCTTGATGGAAGACTGCTATCCATGTACCGGGCTTATGAGTGGTCGCTAGGTGTAAAGTCAATCGCCTGGAGTCCCAGCAGTCAATTTTTGGCAATTGGCAGCTATGATGAAAAGGTAGGAAATGGGTTTATTTTCTCTCATTTATCTAAACCATTTGTAGAACTTCATCATAACAGTTTTGTCTTGCAATGCTTTCTTGAATTAGGTGCGTATCTTGAACCATGTAACTTGGAAGAAGATCACGGAGTTTGAGCATCCAGCGACCATCACTAACACCAAGACTGTAAGTATGGATCCAAAGTCCACTGAATCATTAGCAGTGCTTTGACGCTGCTATTTGTATCTGAGAGGTGCTAGTAAATACATTTCATTCCGGAGACCTTGCTTCTGCCCCTTCTAGTGTGTAAATGGAGCTTGGGATGTTGGGTGAAAATTTGGGGATGTAAATAAAATAGAGGAATCCTTTCAAGTTCGATGGATACGCACATGTGATCCTCTCAGCTTTAGCACTAATAGATTCTCAGATGACTTCTGTCATATGTCACTGTATTTTGATGTATATGGTGATTGCCTTATGGCTTTGAGTATGCAGATGATGGCAAACTGGGAAACTTAACAGGAGTCATTTGTCTCAGTTTTTTACAATTAGTGACTTTAAGCAGTGTTGGAACTGTATTGTGGTCAGATTTACAAGCTCATCCAGCTCACCTAAAGATCATTTCCTGTAAACATCTGTCATCATTTATTTTTATTCTTGCATACATGTATATGCAAGGCCCAACAGATTGTGGGTAGTTGGCAGCAGGCGGAGAGCTGTAGCTTTTGTTCCAAAAATCCTGAGCTGTTCTCATCCATCAAGGTGAAAAGAACACACAGTGCAGTAGTGCTGCATGCCGCTGCAGAGGGAGGACTAGCCTTGCATCTGGACAGATGTCCTGTAAAAGTTTACATGTGTGGACTGTAAGTCTGCAAAATTCACGTGACTAGGAGCAAGGCATGACCCATTAAATGCACCTCCGCAAGACTTCTCGGGACTGAGGAATGCCCTTACTTCCCGTTAGGTGTAAAATATGTAATGGAAAACAAATGGAAATAGCTCTGTTAATCTCTTCTACACAGACAGGAATGGCAGTTGGTGCATTTTATCCTGGTGCTTGCATTCGGGAACAATATGTTGTAGGCACACAAAATATTTTTGCTATTTCCTTCTGTGATGCGCTTTGTTTGCATTTATTTATGATGGTATCCAATTGAAGATTCTTTGCTGCAAAAATGAAATCTATGTTCCCATTGTAATGAAGATGATTTATTGTACTGCCAGATTTAGCTTTCGGGAACAATGAACGAGGTGTACGCTGGCAGACTCATTCTTCGTAGACTTCAAGGTTCGTTTATTTGTCGCAGGAGTGTTTTCCTGATCGTGGTTCCAAGTAGCAAATGATTCCCTGAGAATGCCGGATTCAGTGCTTGCCTGCTGCAGCCTGTTCCTCCACTGATGCACTAGGGGATGCTGAGATACAATACACTTGTAAATGAGTTAGTGGGATGTGGATGATTTGGTAATAGCCTGTGTTCAAATCCTCCAAGGCCCTTCTGTAGAACTCTCACTTGTTTCTTTGTAGATTGTGTATAAAGAAGTGGAGAAATCCCCATCTGTTGAAACAGAGAGACTTTCTTTCCCTCCAACAAGAGCATTGGCTAGCTCGCTCTTCAGCACGCAAAGCAAATGTAAGCCAAAGTTTACTAATATGAGACATTTGAGTTTGCCGTGTGAAGTCTTCCTATAAATAAATGTTCTGGGCGAACTCTGCCTCTTCAATACCGGAGCGGATCCTCTGGATGCTCTGCTCCGGGCTCCCAAGTCAGCTGAAGAGCTCCGAGGGCAGTGAGCACCCTGCTAGAGGGGACGCTGTCTGCACGCTGCTTTGAGGGCAGGTTAAAGACTAGGGGGATATGGCAGAAAAGAACTGTAATTGCTTGGGTGTGGAAATACCAGCCAGATCTCAGTCTTGGAGTTGCTTGCAAAAGTCTTAGCATTGTGGGGATTTTTTTCCTATTTGTTCAACCCATGCAATGTTATTTCATGACTTAGTTTAACTGTTGCAGATAATTGCTAGAATCAGATGAACTATTGCAATTAGGAATCTTATCATAGTGTGTGGCAGTTCCAATAATTAAAAAAAAAAAAAAAAGAAATAATCAGAAGGTGTTACAGTCTCGCTGTCTGTTGTAGGATCGTAATTAATCCCTTCGGTAGGAGGCTATGTAAAAAAGAGAGCGTGAAAAAGGCCATTTGGCTTTTTTCTAAGAAGCTGTAGTGGCAACAATGCCGTTAACTTGCCTCCAGACAACAGGCTTTGAAATATTCAAGAGATGGCAGACAGTGTATGATCAGGGCTTTAGTTTTTTTCTGGTTTCTTTTTTTTTTTTTTTTTTTACTGTCTCATTTTTTATGGTACTGTGAATCACCTTGGTTTTGCATTGGTGTTTAAAATACTAGTTAAAAGGTAGTGGAAATTTTGATTTTTTTTTTTTGTAGTTTAATCTCAGACTTGCCTGGTTTTCCAGCCTTTTGTGTTGGTGTATTTTTTTATTTTTTTTTTTATTTATTGTAGAAGGGCAAGAATAGTAAGCTGTTTATATAAAGATGCAATATCTTAAAACAATTGAAGTTTTGATTGGGACATCTTGGAGAAGAGTAGAATACAGTCCTGTCACTTCAGAGAGGAGGGTTATTTTAACAGGTGGAATTGAAATATTTTGCCCATTAAGGCTTGCTTAGTAAAGTCCTTTTATTTCAAATTCCAGATGACATTTCCCAGGTGCCAGTTTCTTTACAGTATATCAAACCAGTTGCTGACAGGGCAAATCCCAAAATGGGAATTGGGATGTTGGCATTCAGTCCAGATAACTGTTTCCTGGCAACCAAAAATGGTAAGTTCCTGCTGCCCGACGATAAAGGGGGAGCCTACGTGCTGTGTGTGGTGTGTTGTCGTAAAAGAAGCGAGGACAATGTTTGGTCAGTTATTTTGTACTATGAGGGGACTCATGGCCCCCTTTGAAATCAGCTCTTGGTCGTGCAGGTGTGTAATGACAAGGGAGGTTCAGCCTCTGACTTCTAGTGTACGTAAAGTATTGTGAGCTGCCAGAACTGCTTATCAGTGCATTAACTTGGTCTTGGCTTTGTATTTAATGGAAGTCGTACACTTTTTATACTACTTCAAATGTGTGTGAGAATGAAGTGCACAAATCTCTCCTCCTCCATTTACAGCAAGTGTCTCTTGAAAGGCAGAACTCCTCACAACCTGTGGCAGGGGGACTTTGGATTGCCTCACGTAGTGAAGGTCATGGAATTAACGTTTAATCTTTCTCTTCGATGGTCCTGAAGGGCTGTTTATGTCTGGATGCAAAAGCTGTGGTTCAGATGCAATACAGCAGCATAATTGTGAATAATTTGATAAAAGCCGGTGAAGGACTGGAAGGCAAACTAAGTGACTTCTTTTATTCTTTTTGCAATATTTCCAAGGCAAAATTGAAGGCGCTGCTAGGCAAAACTATAGCAGTGGTAAACCTGTGATGTACCTAAATGGTTTGTGTCGCGTTAGACCTCGATTAATGCCCATTTCTTTAAAAAAAAAAAAAAAGTGTGATCTTTTTATCCTTCAGGTATTCACATCATTACCTCTTCCTTTCCTGACAGATAACATTCCTAACGCTGTCTGGATCTGGGACATTCAAAAGCTGAAACTGTTCGTGGTCTTAGAGCAGCTGTGTGCCATCCAGTCTTTCCAGTGGGATCCACGACAACCTCGACTTGCTGTATGTACAGGAAACAGCAAAGTCTACTTATGGTCCCCAGCTGGCTGTGTCTCCGTGCAGGCTCCAGTGGAAGGTAAGGCTGCCTGCAGTAACTTGTGCAAGCCATCATCAGCTTCTGATTTACAAAGTATTTTTCCACTTACAAATCAGTCCAAGCGTTATCATGTAAATGGCTCAGATGTGTTCTTGGAGCTTTTTAAACACGGGTATTTCTCTCTTCAAAATAGGGGACCTCATAATGAGACATGGCAAACATGACAAAATATATTGAGGATGGAGCATGGGGGCTAACAGTGATTTAATTGTTGCTTCAATTGTATAGTGTGTTGAATTATTTCTCAAGATTTATGCTCATATCAGTTTGTTTACATAGAAACTGTAGTTGTGCAGAAAGCATTTCAACAATGTTGAAATACAGACTCCAAAACACCTACAATGTTTTGGGGTACTCGGAAAACAAACTACAACAAAACAAAACTACAACAAAACACTAACAGGGAAAAATGTGCGTAGTAAATCTGATGTGGAAAGATAGAAGAACATACGTGAACCTGAACTCTGTCAGCCTGCATGCTGGGAAGTTTTTATGGTTGACAGTAAGTGATACAAGGCCATTGGCTAGGTCACATAAATACCTTTCTCCAAATTAAAAGAAATCGCAAAGATTCCACTTTTTCCTCTCTACACAAGGAGCAGCAATATCAGGGAGGTGCGCAGCTCTGCACCATTTGTGGCACCTATTTGCATTAAAATGCTGAGTCTACAAAATCTGTGCTTGTATGCGGAGTATGAAGTAACTGTAGGTTTGGGGGAACGAGTCGGTAACGCGGCTTTTCTGCGCTGCTCTGTAGGAGAGCGGATTGGCTCTACCGCAGCAGTCACGAAATCGAACGCCCCGTTAAGGCTTCCGAGATGGGGAGGGTGTTTCTCACAGTGGGTGTGACTTATTCCAGCTGCCTTTTCCTAGAGCTAGAGGATGGACTGTCGGCTTCTTGTGACAAACTCTGGTCTGTTTCTGCAGGTGACTTCCCGATCGTGTCTCTCTCCTGGCATTCGAGTGGAGACTCCATGGCGCTTCTGAGTAAGGACAACTTCTGTGTGTGTTACTTAGAAAGAGAAGAGGTAAAATAACAATCGTTGGCGTTAAAAACGCTCACAAGCTTGAGGACGAATGAGGAAAGGGGTCAAACCCTGTTGCCCAGTCTGAAGTTTTTGTATTTATAAATTATTTATTTGAAGGGGCGTACCCAAACTCCAGTGTGTGAAGTACTGTGATTGCATTTGAATGACCTGTAGGGAATGAAGCCCAGATTTCAAGAAAACTTTGGTATTGATGTAGTTGAGCTTCCTCTTGAGCTTTGTCAACTGTGAAACCTTATTTTCTAAAGTTGTAGCTGTGTGTGTATATAATGTATAGCTATTATTTAAATTTTATAATTTCCAATAAATATTTTCATAAGTTACAAGCTTGGTATGACTCTAACTATGAACCTGCACTTCTCCGTCATCCTGAAGTCTGTTTCTGTACTACCAGCGATGTGATTACGGTAGCTATTTATGCCAGCACAGGGAACGGTTATTTGCACCCAACAGTGTACAGCTGATATCTAGTCTTGTAAGACAACAGATTTTTTTTTTTTTTTTCTGGTGCATTAGAATTAAATATTGTAGTGGAAGTAGATACAGCAGTAAGACGCTTCCTAGCAAATCATTACTGTTAAAGCAAAACAAGTTCTGTGTTCAGAAAGCAAACTAAGTCATCTGCAATAATTTTGCTTTTCCAGACTAAGCTGTCAACAGATCTCACAGTAACTGTGCCTGGTCTACCATAGATTTATTGCGCTAAATCTTTACAAGAAGGATCGTGACTGATCCTTTAGAATGATGCATAGAGGCAGCTGAAATGGGAGCTGTTGACCCAACGGCCTAGTGTTGAGTTGGAGTGGACGGGGCAGCCGGGGGGGGGGAGGGGGGGCGGCCCTGAGTGGGGGGGGACGTTTCAGCAGGGGAGGAGCGGTGGGGCTGTCCTTTGCCTCTAACCTGAGTAGCCAGCCACTGGATTCTTCAAAGGAAGGGGGCCCATTGCTTAGGAATCCATTGGATGTTTTTTCTTCTGCTACTTAATTTCACAGCCTCAGTCGCCACAAAACGAAGGACAAAGAACAAATTGAGTTGAGATTTGACTTTACTGCAAGATTAATGAAAATGCACTGAGAGGGGCGTGCAACTTGTTGCATTCCATCATGACTTCAGCTTGACGTAAGTTTCATAAACTCACGTCTACTTTTCAGTTCAAAAACCCACCACTGCAGCACAGCGTTTGTTCGGCACTGTAGTTGCGCAGATAAAAGCTCTGATAAGACAGCGTGCGTGGAAGGTCACGCACAACGCAAAGCTTGCTAGGGAGACCTCACGAGAGAGCTCAGTTGTCTCTTACGCTGCTTCTGAATGTCATTGCTGGATGTTGGTGTGAGGTTAAGTGCGGGAATGCACCAGTCAAGATTGACGTACAGTGCTTAAAGTCTTACCTGTCTCTGTTAGAAAGTCCCGCACCGCTGTTGTCCCAAACCGGAGCAGATTTAAGAAAAACTGCTAATATAAACCTAACCAAAATAGAATTCCCGTTCAGTTTTATAAATAATAGCTTTGAAGGCAAATGTGTTTGTGAGGCTCTTGGCGATTGTTCTCTCAACAAAGTCTTTATTCTATGGCTGCAGCAAGGAAGCGTACATGAGAAACCAGAAGTTAGACTGGCTGCTTAGAGTGTTTTTGCAAAAAGCTAATAAATGCATATTCAGCCATATGCTTCAGCTTACAAAGTAATAGTTGGCGTACGCTGCTGCTGAGCAGATGTAACGTACAGCTTTCACAAAATCTGCTGACTCGGCTTTGCTAAAGAGTGACTGACACAGCTTTCAAAATTCGTAACAGGCGTTAATCAAAATGCTTAAGGTTACAGTAATTGCGAACGCGAATACCTCTTTAAACAGCACAGCTCAGTCCCAAGCACACTACACGACTGGACACCACATATAGGGATACAACTGTGATATGGCATGAATGTTCTGCTGGATCTTGGGTAGTTGTGCGGATGGTTTTGCAGCAGATGCCAATGGCACTTAATTAACAGGGATGAACATGTAGTTAGAAATGGAAAACACCGCTGCTCGCTAGCCCTGTACAAGAACCATTAAGAACTGTAAATTGGACACCAGAAAGACACTACCTCGTGTCTGCTCCAGATTCATCTGACCTGTGCATTCTCCGTAACAACCAGGGCCTCCTGTGAGCTGTTAGATCTACAACTCCCCCCTTCGTCCCCCTAACTTCTTCGCTTTGATTATCGAGTGTTCTGCCACGCAGCGTGCTCTCCCTGGGAGACCGAGATCAAATTGCCTTCCCTTGAAAAGATTAAATGCAATGAATTTTAAAATCCAATTTTGCCTCTCGTCATGGAGTAGCCGAGTTTGGCCTCGTTGTTGATGAAGGACATCAGCCCCAGGTAGGTCTCGATCAGAAGAGGACGCTCCAGCACTAGCACGCCGTTCGCCCTTCCTGGCAACACACGCTCCTTGTGGGCTTTCTTCACAGCCTGAATTAGCTGAGTTTTAAAGTTTTCCAGCTGAAAGAGAAAAAAAGCACCTTGATGATCTCCCGTTGTTTTACAGATTGTTAGGCAAACAGCTGCTGATGTTGGATCGTACAGGATTAACGCTAGAGCGCTAGATCTCGCGTGCCATGACAAACTTTACGTTCTGACATTTCGCCTTGAGGGTGCAGTTAACTTCATACCAGGACACTGTTTATGTGTAACTTAAACCCCCTGGGCTGGACGCGTAAAGACTTATCAGTGACTAATACTGTTTATTCCTGACTGTGCGTCTCCTGCCCTTACCACCATGTGTTGACCTGACATTACCATAGTGCTCTATTCTTAAGGAAACCTGCAGAGGAAAGCAGCTAGCGCAAGGAAAACCGAGAACCACCTAAGTGAGGGTTTACTGTTAGCAATTAACCTATTTGTTTAATTAGCTGGCAGTCCTGGATGAAAGGTCAGGCATCGGCCTGCCAGGTAAGCAAGAGTAGGACTAGCGCTAAGATCCGTTTTCTTGTGGCTGTTACAGGACTCCGCACTTCTGGATGTTTCAGCTTCCTCCTTGTATAAATCACTTATGGGCAGCTGGGCTGCCCTGCAAGGCAAAATTTGGAGAATGGGGAAATGTAGCTTACACTCTAAGTTCTGTCTCTGATTTAACGGCTGTATCTTTTCAAAATAATCTGAATGGCATCCGGCCTATGAGATGAACAAGCCACCTAGAACGGGAGCGGTGACGTCCTTACTAGGCAAAGGGACGCAATCTTCTCATCAGCATCGGCCATTGGATGTTCGGTGAAGGTGACGTACGGGATGCTCGTGGACCACGGGTTCCATCGGCTTATGAAGGAGGCGCGACTTTGCTTGTCCCACTGAATTCGAATACCGGTACCTTCTCGCCTGGCATTGAAGACAGCAGAATGAACGCGGTAAGACTCTCGAGTCTTTGAGGCAAGTTTAATTAGAAACGTACGGTCTGAAAAAGACCTGCTTAAAACTGGAAGCCAAAATGTATGTTTGCTAGCAAGCTTTTTGCTCTAGAACAGCAATGGGAGAGTTCAGCCCCTGAAATGGGTAAAGATACGTTCTTGTAAGCTGAGTGCCAAGAGGTTAAGCTCGTCGGCCACCCGGGCCGCAAGGCCTGAGCGGTGCTGCCTGTGATAGCCTGCGTTTTTACGCGTGACCTGACGTTCACAGGCGCTTTCTAGTAATGGTAAGGTGGTGCTAGTACAGCTCCTACTTACGGCGTTGGGTAACAGCGATGAGCTTCTGCTCCCAAATCTATTCACTTTAGCTTGAAAGTCCTTGAGTAACTCGTGTTTAACGTAACTGCTGCTGTCCCAGCAGAACAGCAGTGACCCTGGGGTGGTCTCCTGAAGCTGGGGCAACGGTGTACAAAGTCAGGCGAGCAAAGGGAAGCGCTCTCCAACTTGTCTGATGGTCAGTGACCAAGGTTGGCAGCTCCAACTACTTACAACAGCAACACAAGCATTACAATAACGTTACGGTGTTACTGTGCCCACTTACTTGTTCAGAGATTTAGGTGGGAACTCGAACTCTCCGACAGAGATGGTATCCACTGCGCCGAGGGCGATCCTCGTCACGTGCTGGCACTGCAGGCTGATGAAGTTGTATTTGCAGATCAGGAGGGACCAATCCGTGATGAGAACGAGACGCTCCTTCTCGTTGTTCCAGTGATCGATTCTGGGAAAATAACAGGACTGAGCTTTAGCTGTTCTGGTGGATGGCTAGAAACGCCCAACAGCTCGGCAGATAGAGTCGCTGAGGAGGACAAGTCTGAAGCCTTGGTAATGCCCTGTTCTCCATCCCGGCCTTCGCTCTGCTGCTGCAAGCCTGGTAGGAGGCTGAATGTCATGAGAGTCGTGCTACAGCACAGGAAAACATTAAGAAAATCAGAGTAAGTCTGAAGATCTTGAGAGCGAGCTCTAATGCTCTCTCCTGTTAGTTGAGACCAAACGCTACCCAGTGGGGCGGACGAGTCCCCAGCGCCTCGTCCGCAAGCGTCTAACGCCGCCCTCTTCGCCTGTTGCCGCGTTTGCCGAATTCTTAACTGCACGTGTGCACGCTCAGGGGAGAGCAATCGTTTGCTTTAACAGCGTGGTCTGACTTGGCGCTTTGCTCTGTAAGAGCAGTCATCCGGTAACTTGTCGGGTTCCTCAAACTGCACGAACAAAAGATCCTGCCTTTCCCCGGGTGCTTTGCCAGGCGACACTGTCGAGCCCTCGCAGCCACCCTACCGCTTCACGCTTGGGGCAGCCTAGGAGGCAGCAGGTCATATTTGCAGCCTAAGGGGAATTGAGCCCAGCTTTTAAGCTAGCGCCTGTGAAATCTGCTACAGCTTATTTTTAGTGTTACCGATTTAATTGTCTGTCCTTACCACAATTGTCTGTTGTTTCAACAGGAACGCTGACGTAAAGCTGCTGAGAGCAAAGCTATTCTTGTCTAAAAGTAAGCGCAAGGAGCGGGACCGGGCGATTGCTCGGCGCGTTTCCTCCTCCGTCCGCCTCTCCCTGCCCGTTGGACGCGTGCCATGGTGAGAGGACCGAAACCGCCCCGGGGAGCGCTTGGGCCTTGCAAGTCTGGCCAAGCGCCGTTCCGAAGAAGTAGGCGCACTCGGCTT